GAGGTAATTTTTTTTTTTTTTTTTCTTTTTTGCAATTCTCTGAAGGACTATTTAGATGTATCAATAGCTCGCACCAACTTGACATAGTTATTTCCTGAAATTGTGTTCTTATATGTATCAGTAGCTTTTAGATCTTTGTGAATTGAAATGCTTTTGTATTAGTATTGAATGTTGGATGAGCTTTTGCACGTGTTTCGACTATTTAATAATTGAATAATTATTTTGTAAATCATGTTTAAGGGCAATTCGAATCAAGGGAAAATAAACTACAAAATGAGAAGACTAATTTTCCACTCCCCTATACACTTGAAAAAAAGGAAGTTCAACAATCTACGCCTGAATTAATTTATTGGTGACTTATAACTCTCATTTATGCATTCCACTCAAGTATATGAATCTAATGATTATTTTAAATTTGGGAAATATATTACAGGCTCATGTGCTTCTTATGGGCATTTGACACTCAATAAATCATGCAAATAACCTGGTATGTATATATGTGTGTGTGTATATATATAGAACTTCTGGAATATTGAATAATAGCTGCTTTATTATTCAGGTGCTAAAAGTTATATCTGCTTCCCCTGCTGCGTATTCAGTCAATCCGAAAAAGTTATGACGTCTCTTCCCATTTCAGTCAGTGTTCCATCATAAATTTGATTTTCGTGGTACATTTGTTGGATATGAGATTAGATATTATCTGGACACCATACTGAATATCCATTTGTAATCTCTTGAGAATTTGGCAACTTAATTTCTTTGTCAGGCAAGAAACAATGCTATGATTATGATATTCGGCTCATTGAGTATGTTTAGCAACCGATTAGTTTATATTTATCAATGTTTTGGTTGTGCTGTAATCAAATTAACTTAAATTGACTGTGATTTTGCATTTAAGTTCTTTCGATCTAGAGTACAAAAAGCTTGTGTAACTATCAAGTGAGTGAGTTGCAACTACAATTGTATTGATATGACTTTTGTACTTTCTCCTTCTTCCCCTGTTTGTGTGGTTTGGTTCAGTACAATAATTTTGTCATAAGTATATTTCATGATTGCTGTTCTTATTGTCTTTGCTTCAAATTTCGGCCAATAAACAAAACATACCCATTGTTATAATGTGGTAATGTCCCCAGCTCTTCTTTCTTTGAAGATAAAGTGAAAATCAAATTTTGTGTTGAACAGACACGAGAAAAGTGGGAATAAACAACTTTAGACTGAACTTGGAAAATGAATTTTCCATGAAAGTGGTCACCTTAAGGTTTGTTTCACTCTAAAGCTCAATGATTTCATGTTCTAAAACTGTTTGAGTTCTTTTTTTTTTTTTTTTTAATCATTTATAATTGATAGTCTCTTTGGGGACACTGGTATGAATAATGCAACTGCATTGCAAAAATAGGGAACTCGAATTTTCGCTTCATTATTAGTTTCCAGTTGAAAATATATCTTTGAGGTTTTTTGACTGCCCTGTCTTGATAACAGTTTTTGCCCATGTATTGAGGCTGTGAATGTAAGACATCAAAAGGTTGGTGAAAATATGAACCCTCAATGTAGAGGATCAAAGATGAACTGGTAATAATTTGTTCCAAAAAGTACTTACAAGTTAGTGAAGTGATTGATTCTGATAAACTTTTAATTGATGCATTACTTTTGTTAGAGGATTACTCTTGAAATATACCAGTGGTTTGGTAAAAGTTGGGAACCCTATGTGATGATGGTCTGCAAGTTCAATTTTACATGATGAGCCCTTATGTTTTGAAAAACTTTTTACTGATCGGAAGGTGCTATTTAGTTACTCAAGGTCTGACAAATTATTGTAGTGTTTTACTGTTCCGGCATTTTGGACATGCCTTCTTTCTTAAATACTTTGTATTTGATTCCCCGCAGGGCCTTGATTATACATATTTCAAGGTTCTAGATGTCTATGGTGTTTTCCAATTCAAGGTTGAGTATAGAGATCTGGGTACACAAACTTAAGTCTGTCGCAACATGTATGTGATGATCTACAATAAAATAGATGAAGCCATTCATTCTATTATACTTTTCTCAATGTTTTGTACATATCAGATTAATGACAATAAGTTGAGTTCATATAAGAAAGAGACAACACGTTTTTTGGTTTGTCATTTTGCTTTGGGGATTTCTTAAGGAAATTTGGGTTACTCCGTGCTCATTGTACTTTGTCTGAGTCCTTAATTATTACGTACACATTAGTTAGTTGAATGTTCTACTATATCCATACTATTAATTTATCTATCTATTTATTAATATATAACAAGGTAAATAATTTAATTAAAATAGTAATTAACTTTCCACCTAAATAATTTGGAATTCCTGATTTGTTTTTTAATTCCTGATTTGTTTTTTAATAATCAGGATTGTAGTTGAGTTTGAATTTCGAAAATTCAAAATATTTTTCCAGTAACACTAATTCATTTCTATATTTTATATAACTAAGAACCATATATATCTGATAAAAGATCCATATATGTGGATTATTCATATAAAATAATTTATGGTATATAACAATTTCGTTTTATGTTTTCTCTTACGGCAAAACAAAATTATACTAATTAAAATGTAAATAATTTTAATTAAATATCATTGTGGAGACTCATCATATTCAAAAAATAATATATGTTTTTTTCTACTTTTTTTTTTATATTGACATAATGAGAAGCTTAAATATAAATAATTATATATAAAAATGTATATGGAAATATCAAAAACGGGTAAATTGCACCAAACCCCCCTGTAATATACTAAATCTGCGCGTTATCCCCCTATATTTTAAAAATTGCGTCAAACCCCCTCCTATTATATATCTGTCTGCACACTCTCCCTTTGATGTTAACACCGTCACTTTAATACTGACGGTGTTACTTTTTTTCGTCAAATTTACCATTATACCTTACTTTATTTACCATTATGCCATTATGCCTTTATTTTATCACTGAATTTACCATTATGCCATTACTTTATCACTGAATTTACTATTATGCCATTACTGTCAAATAATATATATATATATATATTCTAAATTATATATA